AAGAATGACTCAGACTCTGAAAAAGATGAAGTATTGTGTTTAAATTCTGATCATTTAGGAAATGTTTGCTCCAGTGGAAGATACATAGACAATGATATAAAAAAATTTGAAGTAATTTTAATTTATTTTTATGAAAATAATACAAGTTCCTTATGGAAAATGTAGAGTGGCAAAGAGAAAAAAAGGATACATAATCCATAAATCCACCATTTAGCTGCAAATATTTTGTGTTACATGGTGAATATCCTTTCAGTCTCTTTTCAATGTCATATAGACACATCTTTTAACAAAAGAATCCAATATGTACTGCCTTTTTTTGCTCACTTATAGTAAGGTTGTTTTTTGAAATATTAATCTTTGTACTTTTCTTTGCTTAACTCTTTAAGATAACATTTGCTCCAATAAATCAGAGGCATCTACATTTTGCCTTGGGAACATTTACGACTGTTGTGCCAAGAATATGAAGAAAAAAAAGTGTTGCTGTTAACTTCTAACAAGATGGAATTTTTGAGTGCTGAGGGAGATATTTTTCTTGAAAGTTGGGCATTGTTGAGAAATAAAAGGCTCGAATTTCTTAGGTTTCTATCAACAAAAAGACGCAGAAGCTCCAAAACATGGGACAAATAGAGTGATCTTAAAATTTGTTCCTATATTAACTCAAAATCTCTTTATTACCTGTTAGTCCCTGCTAAGTCATGCACTAAACGAGGGAAAGCACAGCTTAGCTTCCATTTTAAATGCTTTACCATTCTAATCAGAAGTCTAATGCATTATACTTCTTTAAGCTCGCTTATGCAGAGATGCCCAAAAATCTTTTGATGTTATCTTGCTGCATCAGGATTATGGCTGTGAAAATCAACTCTGGTTTTATTATGGATTCATGCTATCCCTATCCCACAATTATCACCATATTTTATTTTTCTTCCTCTTTTTCCTTTTTCTGTTTTCTTCCTATTACAGGGTGGGGTTTGGCTCTTATTTCAGGCAGGGGAGAAAAGTAATTGAAATAACAAATACATAAAATTAACCTGAACTCTTAAAACTCTGTCACCATGGAGATCAGAACATGAACTATCTCCAAGGGAACTCAAATGATTTTTTTTTTTTTTGCTTTAAATGATCATCACTTATTATTGAATGTTGATTTGGCCAAGGAAGGGAAGAGTAAAAATAAATAAATAAATAAATAAATAGCCTCACACCAGAGAATTTATTAAAGACAAGTATAGTTGTTCTGGTTCTTCGTATTGCATTATTCCTGTGAGTGGGAAGATATCCCAAGACAAAATTTTTCCTCAATTCAGAATTTCTGGAAGAAATCATCTGATGATATAGCTCCATAAATGCTACAGAAATGACTAGAGAAGAGTAATCTCTAGAAAAGTCTTCTCTCACCCAGAAGCATCAAGGTGAGATGCAGGTGATATGGCTCTGTATCTATCACTCCAGCTGCAAGGAAGAGATGGCTCCTAGACAATGTCGCATCCCAGTAATACCTCTAACAACCATTCCGGGTATATCACTTTATCACATCCATTATACACAACCATTTTAAATATGTGTAGTGAAGTCAAGCAGACTTGTATTACATGCCACATAAACAGAAAACGGGAATCACCCAAAAGTTTAAACTAGGTAAGTCAAAATTTCTTCCAAACACCAATTCTATTTTGCAAACCCATGGATATAGTCATTTAATCAAATACTCAGTTGAAAGGCCACTCAAATGGTGTCTTATAAGTAGTAAGTGCTAACCTTTAATAAAAGCATAAAAATCAATAAAAGCTTTAATATGTACTAAAATAAGTCAGTAGAAACCAAACAAATATAACCATAATGCAAAAAAACAAAACGGTCAATGACATCATTTGTTTGGAAATTTATACAATTTGAACTTTATGCAGTTTTTTCTTGTTTTGTTTTGTTTTTAGGACAGATCTTGGTAACTGGTTGGATATGGAAGAAAAAAAGAGCAGCCGCAGTACATCCAGCTCAGAAACATAGGGTTTGTTTCCTGTGAGCCATTTTCATAAACCCATCAAAATATAACCAGGTATTATGTGTGTTTCTATTTAAAGACACCTTATTCAATATATATTGTTGATTAATTAACATCGAACTTACAGCCGACAGCACTATAACTCATGCCTGAATGAAGCTTATGTAACACATAATTTTCTCCACATCACACACTTCTTGAACTTAGGAACACTAGATAGCTCTTGAGCACTATACTTCAGGACCGTTTTAATAATAAATCACCTTCAAAACTCACAAAGATGCAAAAAAACAACAACATGGCACTGCAAAAAGAGTATCTGCTCCCATATGAGTGCTAAAAGAAGAAGGCAGAATGTCACTTTGTCTGACCTCAACTGGGAATGCGTGTAGACAGTAACTCAAAATGTTTGCCCCTCTGCACATGTCCATAAATGACCATGAAAGCACCTCGACCATTGATTTGAGGTTACAAATAAATTTTAGCGAGTAGACAAATTTGCAAATATAAAACCTACAAATAATGAGGATTGACTGTATTTGCCAACTATAGAGAACAACTTGTATTTCCCTGTGCTGCTGCTTGCTATTCCACTGCATTTGCCTGTTTTCTTTTATTTACCTATGAAGCTCCTATTCTTTCTAAACCCTGCTCGGGAAACCAGCCCCCCCCCCCCCGCCCCACACACACACACACACACACTAACTTTCCTTTCCTGTTCCCTTTGCCTCTTATACTTATCTCTATTTTGCACAAATAAGATTGACATTTTCTTTTACTGGCCTATGAACTTCCTTTAGGTCAATGAAATATCCTATGTATGTATATACCAGTTACTGTGCTTACTATGTGGCAGGCTATATGTTAAAAAGGAGTTTCACATACAACACCATGTTTAATCTTACTAGAATCCTTTCATGCCCATTTCACAGTTGCAGAAACAGAGGCCCAGAGTATCACTTGCCATATCACAAGCTGCAAAGTTGGTGTTCAACCTAGAGCCCACACTTTTAACCATTATGTTATCCTAAATAAATAGTATTACTAGATACCACATATTATTGACTGCTTACTATGTGCCAGGCATGGTGCTAAATGCTTTATACAAATTATCTCATTGAATCTCCTTATTCATCTCTGCATCTCCAATATGTAGCTGTTAATTGGACTGAATTTATTTCTTCCTGCTCCCAAACCGTCTTTCTAAAATCAATAGCATGAGAAATCTCTCTACATTTCCAGAAGTGGCCAGAATGACTTTCAGTGTTATACCACCCTTCTCCGCACCAAATTCCTCACCTCCTTCTCATTTCTGTCCTTCTGTAGTTTTGCTATTGATGTCTCTGATGTTCACAAGGCAACTCCTCAGAGCAATGGAGAAAAGAACAAAGTACTATCCACTTGAAAAGATCTTTCTCTGTAACAATAATTTCTAGTAGTGATTTATATCATAACTTAAATCCTTATGGAGTAACAGAATCATGGAAGAGGTAAGTGTTTTTGCTTGAGGGCCATGAGGTAAGCCCTGTATGAGGCTAAAAGAGGATTTTGTTTCTCAATGTAGCTTTGGATTTCAAATCTATATAAACTTCCATACTGAATTCAAAACAGGCAGATCTTGGAGATGAGACGAAAAAATAAGGCTTTGGAAAAGTAAGGAATAGGTGTGAAAAATTTGCAAGACAGAAGCTACAGGGCTCACATACATTGCATGAAGGAATGGGATCAAGGAGGGCTTAGCTTTAGGGCTAAGTCCAAATCATCTTTATTTATTTTTTTAAATATTTCTTTATTAATTTCAGAGAGGAAGGGAGAGGGAGAGAGAGAGAAAATTCAATGATAGGAGAGAATCATTGATTGGCTACCTCCTGCATGCCTGGGACCCTTCAGTCCCCAGGCCAATGCTCTATCCACTGAGCCAAACCAGCAGGGGCCCAAATCATCTTTAAATGGCAAAAGTATAAAGAAGATGACTTCACTTTCTCTTTTTGCTCTCCCCCAGAGAATTCCAAATACAGAATCCTAATTGCCCTAAAAGTCCCCATTTTTCTCCCAGTTATATGTTATGGTTTTGCTATTGGTTACTGCAATAGTTAATAAAACCACATAATCTCTAAGTGAATTCAAAGCCCAAGGGCTAAGGCAAAGGAAGTAAAGCAAATACCTTCTGGGACCAGGCAAGAACTTTTATGAGTGCAATTAAGAGAACTCTTATCTTCGGTAGTGGTACATTCATTGTTGCCAGGAAGAATAAAATCCTTTCAACTTTCCAAGAAAAGACATAATCCTGCATTTTTATGTATAACCTCCTGGTTTTAAATGTGGGCAATTATTTAAAAATGAAAACACAGAGCATGCCAAACAAACTGTTGGCCTTAGTGGGAAATACCAGTTTGCAGTCCCTGGTCTGAAGAATCCTAGGAGCCTAATAGGAGCCTATCACCTAGGCTAGGCCTAGGGATGTCTTTCAAGTTATTCAGTGTGCCTTACTGCCAAATGACAGTCCTAGAAGCCATGTTCTGAACAAAAATCTCTCTCCTGTCCCCTGGCCTCCTCCTAATGCCCTGCTTTTGTGAGCAAGTACTTGTCTCAGAGACCAGAGTTCCACGCCTCTGCAAACACCCTTCGATCCATCCTGCACTTGGGTGATCTATGACCTCTGGTGGCAGGGCACGGGCTGCAGCAGGTCTTGGTGTGTGCTGGGGAGCCACTCCTCCAGAGCGCTCCCCTCCTATCTTCTCCTCGGTTCCCAATTTGCATTCCTACCCTCCCCATTTATCCTTTGAAGATGTTTCCCTTGCTTTTCTCTTCTCTCCTCTCCCAGTTCTGTCTCATCCTTTTCTTTCTCTGTTGTTCCCTTCCTCTGTTCTCATCCTCCTCTGTTTATTCTATCCTCTCCGCCCTTGTCCTCGCTCTATTACTCTCCTTCCTTTCCCCATCTCTTCCGCGCTTCTCCCTCCCCCAGACCCAGAGAAAGGGGAGCTTGGGAGAGCTCGCTCACCAGGAATACACCAACACCGGATTCGAGTATTTTTTGTGATGGGAGCGGAGGGTCAGGGAGCCCTTGCGCTCCAGCACGTCGGGGGGTCCGATCTCAAACTGGTATTCCCTAGTGCTGCACAAGTCCTGGTGGGAGCTGCCGAAGTTCTCCATGACCGCCCTCGCGGCGCAGACCTGATTTCCCTCTGCGCTGGTTTGGGCCCGAGCCAACTACTCCAAGATTCGGCGTCTCTCAACTCCTAAGCAACCTGGGGCGGGGTCAATGGAGGGAGGGCGCCCTCAAACGTAATAACCCAGGTTTCCTAGACAGTGTTGCTGCGGAGTTAAAGGAAACTACATTTCCCAGAATGGAACGAGGGGGCGTCCGGGCTTCATAGAAGGAGGCTCTGCATGTTGGGACTTGTAGTTTCGCCCGCCCAGCAGCCTAATCTCCGAGTGGCTGGGCGGAGTTTTAGGGGGACCCTAGGGTCAGTCAAGGGCTGATGGGACCTGACCCCGGAGAGGGGTCTGTTCCGCTATCCTTGCATAAATTCTTTTTACCATCCATCATCTGTTGCCACCATACTTTCTGCTTATACAAGTTTGACTAAAAGGGAGCAAGAGAACACACCTCAAACCCTAAAATATGTCATTTCTATATAGATTTTTCTAACTGAGAAAGAGGAGGAATGGAATCATTCAGCTAAAAAGTCTGAGATGAAATGACCTGGCTGGTTCCAATTTCAGCTGCTTTCAATACTTTCTGAACATGAGTTTCTTCCTTTGGAAAAAAAACAAAACAAACAAACAAACAAAAACACGAAGGAAGGTTTGGGACTGAAAAGGGGGCGGCGTGAACAAGAGAACCTAAGGTCTCCAGATTCTTAAGTACAGTTTAGGGCTCCGGTACATTCAGCTTCCTAAGACGTACCAAGTTCTTATCATTTAAAACATGATCTTTTGTGACAATCCAAATTCACCACATTATTGTATTGTGAGTTATATGCAAGGAGATTTCAAAATAATTATCTATGGCATTGCTTTCAAGAAATCAATGAAGTGCTTATTTCATTTTTTCACTTTCCAAGTAAAAAATATTTAACACATCAGAATTCTCTTCCCCAGCCTCAGTTGAACACTTTGAGGGCATTAATGGACTATATCAGGGCCCTCCCTCTTACCTGGAACAGTGCTTTTAGTACATGGCATCATTTCACAGTGTTAAATGAGTGAGTGAAAATTATGTCTGATTGTGTTATATTTACCTGGGCTTTCAGAAATTTCATAAATGTCTTACTTTATGAAGACCACATATACACAAAAATTCAAATTTAAAAGTAGACAAATTAAGAGATTTCACATTACAAATAGGTTCTCTAGTTTGCAAAAGATTTGTTATAGCACTCCTATAAATAGTGAAGTGCCTTGCGGGATGAGTTTTCATAAATTTGATTACACATAACTATTAAATGCTTTTCTGTCGCCTGTGATCGCTCCGTGTGGACCCCTGTGGTACCTAAGACCCTATTTTACAGACAGCCACAGTTAAGCCATGCAATTTGAAACCAATCCAGCTAAGTGCTAGTAGATTACTGACTGCTATTTGAGTTCTTCTTGAAGTAATGGGAGGAAAATAGAAGTTAATTTTAAAAGGGTAAATAAGATCTGTGTTAAGCTCAGTGCTTTATAAATCATAGCATATAGCCATTGCTCCAAATATGACCACCATTGCTATCATCTGCTTGTGTGGTTCTTTTACTCATGCTTAAAGTGGTAGCAACATAATAAACGTGCAACCAAGATGTCAGGTCTGTGCCGCCAATCTGAGGGAGAGACAGAGCTTCCTGGAGCTTAGACCTCTTTCTCTGCTGCACAGGTGCTGCAGAAATTTCAAAGCATTTCAACACACCCACTGGCAGTAAGTTAACAAAACAAGCAAAAGATAGCTTGTTATTTTAGAGTTCCTTAAGCTAAGATGACAGTCTATTTGAGTCTACAAATATGCTTTTTTGTTATACTATTCTTTTTTCTTCTTTATAACTTTACTAGAGGCCCGGTGCATAAGTTCATGCACAGGTGGGGTCTGGCCGGCTGCCCCGATGGAAGCCATTGGGCCAGACCGGTGGGGGGGAGGGGATGCAGGAGGTTGGCTGACCCCACCCCCCGAAAGGGGTGGGTGGTTGGGGCTAGGTCCAGCGGGGGGCTGGGGGCAGCACCAGGAGGTCAGTCAGCTGACCCTGCCCACGATCAGGGTGGGGGGGGGGGCAAT